TATATTTGAATCAACAGAATTTTTAATGCCTTATATATATATTTTTTTTTATCATAAACACAATCGTATTGGCGTATATCAACGTAACCAAATGGTTTCTCACAGTATGTTACTCAAACTTTTATTTATTATTTCTGTATCTTCGAAAAGTTTCTATACTTCATTTCACCTCAAGTTGGCACTGGAGAGAAAGGCAGGTAGGCCAGATTAAAGCCGTTGTCATGGAAACTGGATTACTCTTTAAGTTGGTTGGGGGATTTGGTAGCAAAAAAAAGGAGAGAAAGTGGCCTGTATTGGCGTTAAAGAAAAGAAAACGTCGATTTTTTTTTTAAAACCGCGAATTTTATTAAAATTTTAAACAAAATACAGAAAAGAGCACGATTTTTTTAGAGCCTTTCTAACAATTATTAATTTGTGATAGTAGTTGTATGTTGATTTCTTATTATGGTATTTAAAAAGCAGATTTTCTTATTATGATTTTTTAACTAAGTGAAACTAATTGTAAGCAACAAAAATGTTATATTTAAAACGATTTTTTTTTTTTTGTGGCTAAAATCTAAGTTAAAAAAAATGCATAGATGCTCATAAATACTTTGTTTTAGATATTTACTTTTATATATAACTATTTTTTGGAGATTAATTTATCCCACATTGATGTTTTGTAGGGGAAGGAAAAGTCAACATGGATCATCGAGTAAATCATCGATCATGAGAATGATCATACTTATGTTTTATAATATTTACTGTTCTTATTTTTTTTTTCTTATTATAATTTCTCAATTAGGGCGCGTAGCCAAATTACTCAACAAAAAATAAGCACCCTTTAAGCACTTTTCAAGCATTTAAAAAATATATCATAATTAGGAAGGGTTGGAAAGTTTTTGATAATTGACGGTTTATCTTTTTTTAACCGTCATGTCAAAAAAAAAAAAAAAAACTGTTGGCATTGTTTTTGATAATTGTCAAAAATCATTAAATTTTGAATCATGTAAAACGAATGGCGCCTTCATGGACTGACAATACGCCAAAATAGATTGGGATTGAATTAATTGTGAAAATGTTGAATAGAACAACGTGTTTTTTGTTTTTTTGCATAAACCATAGCAAAAATCAACTGGGTAAAGGAAAAATCTCATGAAAAAAGGGAAAATGAAGCACTTTTTAAAGACACCCAATGAAAAAAAAACACCTTTAAGGGCTTTTAAAAATCGAAAATAAGCACTTTTTAAAAACGCTACGCACCCTGTTAATTAAACGAAACTAATTTTAAATAAAATATTTTAAAAAATGCATAGACGCTCATAAATACTTTGCTTTAGATATTTATATGCAACTTTTTTGTAGATTGATGCACATTAATTTATCCACATTGGTGTTTTGTGGGGGGGAGGAAAAGTAAACATAGACAGGAAATCATTGATCATACTTACGATTTATATTTACTGTTCTTTTTTTTCTTATTATTATTGTGGTTTTTTAACTAAACGATGCTAATTTTAAACAACAAAAAAAAATTTTATGAAAAAAAGATTTTTTTTGCTTAAATCTAAGTCGAATTCAAATTCGATGATGAAGCTTCATAGCTGGTCTTAATCGTTGTATCTCGTCATGTTTTACTGGGGAAATGGTCTTCATTAACCCAGGCGCTTGTTTGTTGTTTTATTTACGTCGCACTAGAGCTGCGCAATGGGCTATTGGCGACGGTCTGGGAAACATCCCGGAGGATGATCCGAAGACATGCCATCACAATTTTGATCCTCTGCGGAGGGGATGGCACCCCCGCTTAGGTAGCCCGACGACCTGCGCGCGAAGTCGAGCACTTTACGGTAGCACAGTTTAACGAGGACCCATACCGCACACCCTCGGTCCCTACGCAGACTGATCCAAGTGGTCACCCACCCGTACACTGACCGCAGCCAGTGATGCTTGACTTCGGTGATCTGCATTAACCTAGGCGCATTCCTCTCTATAAGAGAATATTGTCTTTTTCTTTTCTCGAAAGGAAATCCCAAGTCTTTAAGAATACGATAAAGAGTTGAGCGGATAATGTTCTTTTCAATTATGCCCTTGTCATTATTTATTTCCTTTAAAACCTTATCCAAAGTCGGCACTCCATTCCTAAGAAAAAAGCATGGAGTGTATTTCACAAGTACGTTTACCTACAGCTCTCTTTTTGTTCTTTCCAGCTGTACTTAAAGTCTTTTTTTTTCTCCTTCTTCAAACGATAAACAGTTCTTTTTGAGCAACCAGTAAGTGTAGCATCTTTGAGTGATACTTTCGCTCTTTAGTTGTGAATTAACATTTAAAATGTTTCTGCGAGCTCCACTTTTATAATTTTTCCAAACTTGATGACATAAACATCTTTGTCTCTGACATTCTTAAAATGTAAAAATAAAAGAATAAGTAAGGAATTTAATGACTAATAAAATTAATAATCAAAAAAGGAAAGAAAGCTAAAGATTAATAACTTACAAAAGAAAAAAAACTATCGATTACTGAGAAGGTATTAATTATTATTATGTTATTAATTTAACTATTTTTATTAATTTAAACATGAAATACTTCTAATACATGTTTCAAGATAAACTTTTCTTATTATACAACATTTATTTATATTTGTATGTGCATTTAAACTGCAATTAATTTCAAAATAGCGAAGAACTACTTTTCAAAGGCGATGATACTTCTCAAATAAGAATCGAAAAATCAGATGCATTCCTTTCCTCATTGATGGGCGAGAAAAGCATTGGTTAAAACTAGTTTAATAGAGCAGGGGAAATTGAGGGCCCCAACTCAAAAATCCTGAAAATTCCTTGTGTAAAATCATTCAAAAAATTAATTTTGTTATAAATTTAAATTATTGAAATTTTCAAAACATGATATTCTAAATGTATATGCAGCATAATTTAAATGAATAATTATGTATAAGTTCACTTTTATCTCTAATCACATTTATTATTCTACCAGAAAAAATATTTACAAATGAAAGAGATGCCAAGTATAAATTCTAGTTCTAATATTTTTAAATAAAATATACAAGAATTTTAATATATAAATAAATCAATGATTTCTTGAAACTTTCGGAGCGTGGTTAGTGAAAAATCCGGATTTTTTCCGGAGCACAATCACCCCTGATAGAGTAAAAAATATATTTAAAAAATTTCTTTTTTTTTTAAACTTTATTATTAACAATTGAAACATCAAGAGCATTTCTTTATCATTTTGTGAGGCGAGAAAGACATTGTTAGAATATAATGCTGGATAGAAAAAAAAACTTTCATAAATTTCCAGAGAAAATAAAAATCATGAGCATTTCCTTCCTATTGAGAATAAGGCATCTTTTGAATATAATTTTGAGGGAGGGAAATCATTCGAAAATTTCTGTACAAAAGTAATTTAAAATTTTTTACTTCCCAAAGGAAACGTCTAAATCAATCTAACGTCCCACGAAAATATCACCATAGTTCTGGCACAATACTATCTAGAGTTTTACTTGGGTTTCAACATTTTGCTAAAACATTAAATCAGAAGTGAGTCACAATCTTATTCCTCCTTATGCAGTGCAACTGTAATTTCCCTCCACTCCAGTTGAATATGAATTGGAAGCAGACACCGAAGCTGACATAATGAAAATAATTCATGTTCTACCTCCTCCTCACACTCCATTCAAAGCGAATGAATTAAAAAACAGGAGAAGTTGCAATACTTGACCTTGAGTCATTCTGTTTTCATGGCTGTCACTGTGTTCAAAGGTGGAAATATCAGATAATTTTCAAAAAAATAAGAAATAACAGGAAAAAAAGGCAAGGACAACAAAAATAATAGGTCTGCTGTCCCTGTATTATTATACATTTTTGTATAAATTAATAATAACTAATTATAAATACTAGCTATGATACAGAAATAATATATATTACTATCAGTTATAAAAAACAAAACAATATAACCATAAATAAACATGGGTTAATATTTTTTACCAAGATTATCCCGTTAAAAACCCAACCGTGCTCTGATGCCAACTAAAAATATATAAATTTAATTCCCCCCATTAATAATAAAAATTACAGATATATGATGTGCCAGTACACTCAAAAGGTACCAGTGTTGCACCATTCAGATAAGACTTACATTTATGTAAGTTTTTTTTAAAACTTGTGAATATATATATAGTCTTGTCTAAAAAGATGAAAATGTTCATTTTTAATAATTAATCACTAAAGTGTTATAGATAACTCAATGACATGAAAAGTTAAAAAATGAAAATGAATTCATAAGTAACGCAATTAACTTGAGAGAAATATAAGCAAAAAAACACAGAAAGCTTCAAATGAAGATTTTGCTGCATGTGGAAAAAAGCATGGCAAAAACCCGTTTTCGGAGATGAGAGGACAAAAACACATTTTTGATACAAAATTGTTCCTAAAATTGAAATATATATAATTAAAAAAAATTATTCCATATACATCATAATATATCATTTTAGTAGCTTAAAACATTGATCGGAAAATTAGTGATTAGTCTCCTTGACAGACATATGTGACAGACATGACACATATGACAGACATGAGTGAAATGAACATATTTTGAATTAATTATAACTATAATTTAAAGCATAAAATATCTATCAACATGAGTAGTTAATTAAAATATAAAAGTATCAATGCAATTTTTTAAATCTGCGCACCCATCTTAAATCTCTCTTTAAATATAGTGCAAGAGTGATATAATGTAGAATAGATACCAAAAGTTATTATGAAGAAGTAAAAAAAAAAAAATACAATTTGCAAAAAAAACATTCATTTAAGGATTCTAAAATGAAAAGAGGTCAAAAACTTTCTGTCTGATAATAATTATTACCCTTATATTAATATTTTAAAAATATTTAATTAGTAATTTAGACAATTTGGTTTTTAATAATTTTGTGCCACTGTACTGGCAAAAACCACTTTTTACTGGTAAAATCTCCAACTCTGCTCATTATAAAATAAAAAACAGACACGTTGTAATTGCTTGCATTTTAATGAGCATTTTTTGCATGTGATTATACAAATATATACAATTCAAAGATAAAGTCTGATGAATATGTTCACGTTCAAAAGATCATTCAAAACATTCTTTCAGCAATCAAGAAAATTCGCAGCCATAAGTAATTCCAGTGATATTTCAGGAGCAATAGGAAAATCGGGAATTTCAGACGAACTGTTCGTATATCGTACCTTATAGACAAAGTATTGGCAAACTTTTTGCAAAACATGAGATGGTATTTCACGAAAATTTACTTCGTTAGATTCATTCTCAGAAAACTGACCAGGTCCACTTAACATAGCTTTTATTGTCCCAGATGTAAGAACATATTCTCGTTTGATAATAAATTCGTGACCGTCGGATGAAATTAGCTTAACATACATAGCATCAGGACCTTCACATCCACCATAAACATCAGCATCAGGCATTTTTAAGATAAAAATTTCCCAATAAAACACAAAATATCAATATATTACTGAATTAAGGAATAATTTTATGTAAGATGAGATTTTTGAATCAAGCTTCGCGTGCCTTAAGTGACTGTTGCCACGAGCAACGAATCACTATATTTCACAGTTAACAATTAGCTAAAATAAAAAGTTTGTCTAATTTAAATTTTTCTTAAATAAATAAATTGTGTGATGATTCCTGGAATTATCTTTTTTGTATTAAGGAGACAAAAAAATCTATTAATTATGCTGTTTTTTAAATATTTAATCTAAACATTAGCACCTTTATTTAGATAGAAATAGATAGCCGGAAACGATCGAGCAAATAATTAGTAAATATAACCAATTCAAAACAAACGTGGTGTGAATTATTGTTATTAGAAAATATGGTTAATATTTCTTATTTTCTGATGTATTTTTAATATAATTAGTTAAAATCATCATATTGATCTTACTTTTTAATTGTAGGGCAAAGGCACTCCAAAGTTTGCCGCTCCTAAAAAAGTCATTAACTTGACAGATAATCGAATGTAAGTAGCTTACAATTTCACTAAAAAGAAAATACCAAAATAAAAACTGGTAAGGAATATACTATGAAATTATTATTATAGAAAATTCAATTTTTCAGTTACTGAACAATAACAGCGAAGATCAAAATTTTGTATAATATATAATTTTCACTTCTTCATAGACCAATCTTATCATGTTTATGAATTATTTCCATTAATTGTTTTATTGTGACAATATTCTAATAATTCTTTTAGCTGTGTACTTGTTTCATGGGGCTCTAAAAAGACCTATTGCTATTATATCTATTTTAGAATGTTATGAACCTATTACCCCAAGTAACTGAGCATTACTAGCATCAATAGTTTGATACCTTTTAAAGCTTCCTGAAATAGATAAGGATTTATTTTTATTTAATTTTGAAGTAAACTGAAAGAAATCAATGTCTACCTTTATTTAGATCTGAAAGATTTCATTGAATGAAAATATTAACAAAATTAAAATTAATGAACTTCTTTTAGTTTTCTTGTTTTTGCATAGCATGTTATATACCTGCAAAATGTTCACATTTTACCTCGTTACCAACTTCTCATCCCGATATTAATAGTTTATACATACTTATTTACCTTTATGTTGTGATTTTTATTATAGATGTAATTTTAAATTTAATTAGGATTTTAATTTAATTTTTTAACTAAAAGTAATTTTTCTTCCAAGGTTTGTAGGTGGTAAATTTGTGCTAAACACTTTTTTGTTTGTGCTGTCTTTTGTTTGTAACTCAAGAATTTAGGGTATAGGTGTACCAATATCTGAATATATTATAATATTGTATAATGCAACCTAATAGTATGTAGGAATAATATTTAAAAAAAAAAAAACTCAGTGAACTTTTCCAAAATTAATATGAACCCAGTATAAAGAGTTACCATTTAGCCAGGTTTACAAAACTGTGGTCCCTGTGAAAAAGAATATGAAAATCTAGTGTGAAATTACTTCTACAGTGTAGCATGTTATGTGTGTAAGCCAGAGCCGGATTAACCTATAGGCACACTAGGCACGTGCCTAGGGCCTACGAAAAACTTGGGAGAAAAAAATTTGTTGACAAAAATAATTTAGCTTTAAAAACAACAAGTGTATTTTGCACAAAATTATGAAGATACAAATAAAAATATAATATTTTTCGGTAATAAATTATTTTGCAGAATCTTATGATCTAATATATTACTTTTTTGCGATTTTTGGATTCAACGAAATCTTGTATTATGCTGTCGAATTCCAAACTACGCAAAATGTCGTATTCAATAGACATAAGTGCGAGCGATGCCAAACGATCTTGATTCATTGTTGAACGCAAATAATTTTTTATCAATTTTAATCTGGAGAAAGATCTTTCTCCTTCTGCATTTGATCCAAGAATCGACAAATATATTCTTAATGCAATGTGAACGTTAGGAAAAGTATTCACAAGTTTATCTTTAATTTGAGCCTTCAACATTTCTTGTGCAGATTTATGTTCATACAAATTTGAAAATAGTAAAAATTCATCTACAAAGTTTTCCTCTAAATCGGATGAGTAAATTTTCACCAAATTTTGCGCTTTTAGTTTAATCTCAGATTTTGACAAATTTTTGTGAACAGGAAAACCGAAATTATCGTACAAATCACTGTAAGCTTTACGCCTTTTAGTCATTTCTGAAATTAATACATCTAAAATAGCGTAATACGTTTGCATACGAAGAAAATTTTAGCATATATTTTGAAAAGAGGGGAGGAGTGGGGGAAGGAGGGGAGGGCCCATAAACGGCTGTGCCTAGGGCCTACGAAAGGTATAATCCGGCTCTGGTGTAAGCACTTAAGTTTATTATTTTATATCTTTGCTATATTTATTATAAAATTGTGTAGTATTAATGACCTATGCCAATCTGTATTTCTTTCCAATGTAATGTTTGTACATTTTGTTTTCAGAAACAAAAAAGATCGAGTCATAAAGAAGAAAAAGAAGAAGGATGATCAACCGAAAGTAAAAGAAGTGTATGTAATGCCTTATTTATTTATTTAACAGTTAATTCCCAAAATTAGTTTTCACTATTTGCCAAATAATAATAAACAAAATGGAATTAAGAGTCTACCGTAACTCATTCATTACAATTCAAAGTTATTCAGTTTAATGGTAAAAATTTTGTATAGATTCAAGTAGCCCGATACTTCCAAAAAAAAAATTTTTTTTTTTGGGGGGGGGGGCAAATTGCGACCNAATTTTTTTTTTGGGGGGGGGGGGAGAAATTTCAAAACTAACTTTCAATTTTGAAGTAGGTAATTTTTGTGTTAGTTGCACTGAATGAAAATCCTATGGTTAATAGCATTTTTAAGTCCAAATTTTTCGTAAGAAAAAAAAATAGAAATAACAAATGAAACAATTAGTAGCAAGAACATTAAGAAAATAAAAATTTCTTTAAAAACTAAAATGAGTTCCTAATCTTTTTTTTTTTTTTTTTTAAATAAAAATTATTTGTCATTAATTTCTTTTTTATATTTTGGTTGTATATAACATTAGAGGTACTGATATGTAGGAAGAAAAAATTATGTATTGAAAGTGTTTAATGTTAACCTAACCTGCTTAAAAAAATTGCCACTAGTTGGCAAAAAGTGGATACAAATAAAATTAATCTTATTGGCCATTAGAAAACTTCCCAGTTTTTTTCCCCTTTATTTAATTTGAAAATGGTTTAATACTATTGCTGTTATAGATAATGTTTAATTTTGTTGTATTGTTACTGATTTGAAATGTTGAAAAATATGGTTGAGAATTCTGATGCATTAGACAATTCAAATGTCTGTTTTATATTGCTATTCGTCACATTTTTTTAGAAGCTTATTTTTTTCCATAAATGTAATTGTTTGTTATACTTATAATAAGAGTTTTTTTTTTAAATATGTAATTCTTTTTTCAATTTAATTTTAGTGCACAGTACTCATCAGCGTTGTTTTTCAAATATAACACCCAACTGGGACCGCCTTATCATATCATTGTTGATACTAATTTTGTGAATTTTTCAATAAAAAATAAATTGGATGTTTTTACTTCAATGATGGATTGCTTGTATGGAAAATGTAAGTCAATCTATTTGTACATAATTGAAGCTAAATTGTTCTCAAAAAATAGTAATGTGAAATATAAGACATTTCACACTTTTGACAAGATAAAATTTTCAGTACTCAATGTGTTATTTATTTAAATTTATATTCGAATATGTGTACCGTTTTTCATGCTTTTGACAGTGTTACATGTTTTTACCTGATACAACTTATTATCTGATTTAACTTTAAAAAAATGTATTTGAAAATTTTTAAATAGACTTGTATCAAATTATTTGATTGAAAAAAAAAATAATTTGTGAAGTAGTGATTTTAAGCAGACAATAAAATTATGTTATACTAAAACATAATTTTTATTTAAGCAACAATACTGAACTTCTAAATTTTCTGATCTATTTTATTAAATTTCTGAGATATGTGGTTACTCATACAAAGAAGAAAAAAAAATTATGCTCTTTAAAATTTTATTATTAACCTTAATAATACCAAAATGTTATATGGGCATTTGCAGCAATACACTAAGTGAACTGTATTTTGGGAAGAAAGAGACTTAATATTTATGTGTTTGTCACTGATGTAAATTTTGAAACAAGAAAATTGTTAAGGAATTTTGGCATATTTGTACCAAAATTTATTTATGCAAATTATTATTTTTTTCTAAAGAGGACCTTTGTCTAAATATAGTTATTGTATAGCTTACTAAAGATTTAAAAAATATATATTGCGTAGTAGAAATCACTTTGTGTTTAATATCAATCATGATAATATTTTTATTTTATGATATTTTAATCATTAAACCACCTACATTAAAAAAAAATTGTAATTGATTTAAAGTTTTACTGAAAACTACTACATTTAAACTTTTAAATGAATGTAAACTTAGCGTGCTAAAGAAAAGCTTCTTTTTCTGTTACACATCTTGTGAAAGCCTTAAGTAAAAAGTTGATTTATGAATTTACAAAAAAAGAAAGAAAAATTGTTAAAAATTTTTCTAAATAAACTGTAGCACACAAGTATGTTCATACTTTTGTTTTCTCTGCTGCTTTCAAAACAATATAAAATAATTACTTTGCTGAGGCAATAGATTTTGAGTGGAAATTATTTTAACAGTTTTTTATCTACGTTTTAACTTAGAAAAATTGCAATATTAAAAAAAATAATAACTAAAAACAGAAAATGCTATTCTAGTTATGCTTTCTGTTGTTATTACAAAAACTAAAACAAAATAATGTTTATAAGTTTGTATGATCAGAGCAACAGTCTCATACATAATCAGATAATATCAGAATAAAAAGAAATTCAAACTTTGTAATTGCAATTAATGCAAAGTAATATATCAACCATGTAAATGTTTTGTAGGAAATAGCAAAATTTATTTATACAAATTTCCACATGTTTATAATAAAGCTTATGATTAAAAAATTGTTTCTATTATGTATAATATTTCCTACATATTTTGTTGGTAGTTCCTATATTTCCCGTATTGTTGTTGCTATGACTGTTACTGTTATACTACAGTTTAATATCCCAATTATAGAAATTCTAATATCTATTTTTTTTTACTTTGCAGGTATACCTTACATAACAGATTGTGTGCTAGGGGAACTTGAGAAACTAGGCAATAAATTCCGTTTAGCCCTCAAGTAAGTTATGCGCTCAAAGGGTTTAATAGTAGAGTAGTGATAGTTGTTTTTAATCGATTTTTATTTTTTGTACTAATAACTTATCTTTCTTGATAATTGGCTACTTCTTTTCAATTAAAAAATGCTTAAAATAATTTTTTTTTAAAGCCTAATCACTGTCAATTTGTTTCTGTTCCCAAGTGTTAATCATTTTTGTAAAAGCATATATTATTTCCAATATTTGTTTATTTATTAGATAAAAAATTATCAAATATGTTGCTATGTATAAAGTATATGGCTCAAAATTAGTTATTTTTTTCGAACTTTTATTAATTTTTTTTTTTTTTTGATAAAATCATTGTGTTAAAACATAAGAGTTCAAGTGGGCTACTTTTTAATTAAAGCAAATTGTTGAAATAACTGAGTTTCTATGTCCAAGTATTACTTAGATATTGAAAATAAAATATGGTCAATAAAGCCCTATTCTATTTTCAATGTCTGTTTTGTTGATGAAAATATATTTTAAATAAGATATATGTAATTCAAAATAAATTTCTCAAGTGTAATTTTTTTTGTACTAATATCTTGTCTTGTTTGTGTTCAAAATTTAAAATATTGAATTGACTACTTCTAATTTTTGGTAAAAGGGCTCCTTTTTTAGGTGAGTCAAATGCAAAAAGAAAAAATTATTTATTATTTTCTTTCAAACTATATATTGTTCCAAATATGATAAATAAAAAATGTCTTTCTTTGTGCATGCAATGGAGCTAAATAAAATAATAATATAAAATTACATAATCAAATTTGTTAAACTGAAGTAAATTGATTTATGACCACTCACTTAAAAGGTTTTATATTTTTTAAAAATCCTAGCTTTTTTTTTTTTTTTTTTTGCCTTTGCTGCTAGGTATGCAAATAGCTGTTAAAAATTTTTTTTTTTAATCACTACTCACTGTGGAAACTCTTTATCAAAATTAAGTTATTAGATGTACTATAATATATTATTATGTTCTCAGTTTTTTTTTTTTTTCAGAATTGTCAGAGATCCCAGATTTCAAAGAATGGCCTGTATGCATAAGGGGACATATGCTGATGATTGCATTGTTCAAAGAGTAACACAGGTGTTTTTCTCTTATATTTTTATGATTTTATTTTAATCACCCTCCAGGACAGGAAAAAATCTCGAAAAGTGCTGTTAACTGAAATTTTTGATGATTTTAGTCCATAAAAGTTCTTTATTGGACATATACTAGTAAAAATGGCTGAGTTTTTTATTTTTAATAATGATATTGTAATTGTCTTTCTTAATGCAAAAATTTATTATTAGAAGTAGTACATAAAAGATTAAGCAAAAATTAAGAAAATGCTTGTTTAATTTTTGACAGGTTTGTTTATTTATAAAATTAAGTTTCTGATAATTTATTCAAATGAGTATTATTATTATTTGCTAAAATGTACCCAATCCAATGGTTTTTTTTCACCCTTTTTTTGTCAAAACGAAGTTTTCTTCAATTTAAAACGTTTAGTGTATCGAAAATAATAATAATAATAAAAAAGTTAATGAAATCCCCCACTTTACAAAAGAAATTATCCTATCTAACTCTTAAACTAGATAATATTTCATCCATTTCCTCCCTGTCTTTAAAAGCATGCTCAGCTTATAAACGTGAATTATTTGAATTTAAGATAAGTTTCAGCAAAGCTAATTAATTGTTTCACTAAACAGAAGTAGGCAATACTTTTCTACCAAAAAAATTTTTTGTATATATTTACTTAATGGACTATTTTTTCCCCTTTTCTTTAAAAACATATGCATTAAATATTCTTACTCATAATGCAATTTCATATACTGTATTTCATGAGTAATTATTTCTTTGTTTTTTCTATTTTATAATGATTTATATTTTTGTAATTTTTTCATAAAAGATTATAATATACATAGCTTACAACTCTATTGGTTTTCCAAGTAGATCACTGGATTTTGCCAGTTTCTGCTGGTTTAATAAAAATTTTCCTAGTTTTTGTACGTTTTAGAAAATTCCCTGAAATTGTCTAAGTTGCCTAAAAATCCCTATGCAAATTGAAATTTTCCACAGATTATTGCTTGCTTGAATATTTAAGTAAGTGTTACTAATGCATAATGAAGCGAGCCTCATTTATAAAAATCAGTTTAGAACTTTTTTTTATCCCGCAGTGGACTAATCATAAAGACATGGTTCCCAGTAGAACACCAAAGTCAAGCATTACTGGCTACTATCAGTAAGCAAGTGGGTGACTACCTTGATCAGTCTGAATCAGGATGTGGGGTGCACAATATCGGTCCTCTTTAAACTCTGCTACTATGAAGTTCTCGACTTCACGCGCCTGACGACTTGCGCACAAAATCATCAGGCTACCAAATCAGGATTGCCATCCCCTCTGCAGGGGATCGAATGGCTTGTCTTTTGATCATCCTCAGGGATGTTTCCCAGACCGTCGCCAATAGCCCATTTTGCAGCTCTTGTGTGACGTAAATAAAGTACCTACCTACCTTAAAACTTTTTTTCTTTCAAAATGTCCAGCTTATTTCGTTCACAACTCCCTTTTTAAATTATTTAAAATATCTTAACTTTAACTATCTTTGATCAATTAAGTTCTTACCACTATTCAAAATTATGAGTAAACATAGTACATAACATTTCAAGTTCATTTAATGTCAATCATAACAGGAAAATATTGCAGTTTTTCTAATTTGATGACTATGAAAATCCCTAAAATTCCCTGTGTGTAAAATATTTAGTACATTTATGCAACAATTATCATGAAATTTATATTGTTTGGTAAAATCTACTGCATTTTTGCCTATCCATGTTGGCAGCTATGTATGCATTTATGCAATTCTCTCTCATTTTGACAGAATTAACTTTTGGTGTAAATTTTTTTTTTCATTCTTGATATTTATTTATTTTCTAAATAATGTTGTACTTTTTTTCGTATGACCCACCAATGCAACTTCCCTTCCATTATAACAACTAATGGATGAAGTCCCTTTTGCTATTTCATAGCCATTGAACTTTTTTTTTCCAATATAGTGACAAAAATGTAATCATTTGATTTAGGAAAAATTTCATATTAATTCTTTAAATTATATATATATATATNATATATATATATATATATATTGACATTACAACACAATAAATATGAGACAACTTGAATCCGTTTGAATGGACATAACCCCCTACATTCTTATCTTGTGAGTTCATTTACTGTTATTTTGACATATGTTATTTATAGGAAATGACAGCATCAAAACAGCAGATTACTTTTAGGGCTTTTTTTCACCTAAGAAGAATTATCTTAAAGTTTATTTTTGCATATATATTAATGTAAAAAAATTGTGTTGTTCCCAATTTCAGTTACAAAATTCTAATCAAAGTAAAGTATTGATTTGCTAAAATTAGGCAGGTATATTTTTAGCTAGTGGTTAATATTTATGGTATTTTGCGAACTCACAGTATAGTGACTTTACATTGAAGCTTCTGTTTTCGACCAGACCACATTGGTCATTATATTGAGTGTATCAATTTTTCGTTATTTTGCTAGTCTTTATTTAATTTAAATATTAAAAAAATTACCAAATAATGTGTATTTAATTATCCTTTATTTAACCATAAATTTATTTTGTTTCGGTTTTGCCATTATTTAAAATTTTGCTCTTTAATACTTTCATTTGTAAAAGAGAATGACTTAATGACTTTTATTAAATGTTATAATTGCATGTTTTTTTTATTTTTTTATTTATTTATTTTTTTTTATAGTCATAAGACTTGTGATTAAATATTTTTTTGTGGAGATCTTAGATTTTGAATAGATAAATAAGTATTACAAAATCACTTGTTAACTGAATTACAAATATCTTAGAAATTAATAGTTTAAATGTAAAATTATGTCAATAAAAACTATAATGATGATGAAGCTATATTTTAAATTGCATTTATTATTATCAGCATTTTTTAAGTTATCATTCAATGTGCTGAGATTCACACAGATTCAGTACTAAATAAAATAAATAAATAATAATAAAAATATAACAATTTTTAATAATTTTAGCTCAAGCATAACATTATTTTCTCTGTAATTTAGTCAGTAAATTTAGTCAATAATAACTGTAATTATGATAAAGATATATTTTAAATAGCATTCACAATTATCAGCATTTTTAAGTTATCATACAATGTGCTGAATTAACATAGATTCAGTACTAAATAAAATAAATAATAATACAACAATAATTTTTCATAATTTTAGCTCAAGCACAACATTATTTTCTCAGTAAGTTTATATGTATATATAATGAGGTAGGCTAGTGTCAACATCAACAAATGTAATTAAATAAAATATTTCTATTATTTATCACTCAAAATATATATAAAAATTTATCAGATTGAAAAAACTGTGTTACACCTTTCATATGCTGTTACATAACATCGCATGTGATTTCTAAGTTGTGAATTAAAAACAGGTTTTGAGGGTGGGAATAAAATTCTTAATTGCCACTATTCTATTTATTGCTTTAATAGTCACATTTGATTTGCCCTTTCTTTAATTAACCAATAATCAGCTTAAGTAAGCAAATGACTCCATAGGACTAATACTAGTAGCAATTGGAGTTGCTTCAAATGTGTAGGTTCCTAGGGCTTAATAGTGATCATGAATTCAATTTCATAATTGATTTATGAAATTGGTAAATTATATTATATGAAATAGTTGTAATGAATTATGTTTTTAATCATTGCTTGGAGAGTTTTTTTTATTTTAAACTTTTGTGCTAATATTAAATGTTATTTTAGTATTTGTTTTTTCTTTCTTGGGGGAGTTATCTGTTTTGCAGTAAGAAACTGATGAAACTATAAAACTGAAGAAACTATAAAACTGAAGAAACTATATGAAATTATAAGGAACAATAAGCAGGAAACCTCGTTTTTTTTTCTCTAATTTTGAGTTTTTCAAAATATGGATATAATATAATTATATCCACTAATTATTTTTTTAAAATTTTTGATGACAATCATTTTGTACAAATGAAGAAAAAAAATCATTAACTTAAATAGCTGTTGGAATTGTTTTTGTCCCATTGTCTATTATTTTATTTCCCCTACAAATTAATTTGAAAATAAAATCTTATGTTATTTGTTTATTTGAAAAGAACCTTCAAACCGCATGATTTAATAATTGCTCTTATAAATTAAATACTTATACTGTATTTTTTAATCAAATTTCTTAAATTTTTTACAAAAAAATATTAAGAATTTTATTTTAGGCTTTTTTATCAAGACAGTAAACTAAATTGTGCTGTTCATTATTCTATGCTTTTTTGTTATATACATATCATTAAATTAATAAATCTTTGTTTCCAGCACAAATGCTATATTGTGGCAACCTGTGATAAAGATCTGAAGAGGAGAATTCGTAAAATTCCTGGTGTTCCTATCATGTACATTAATAAACACAGGTATGTTCATTTCACATATTTTAGTTACCTGTATTGCTTTTTTTCTTTTGTCTAAATCCTTGACTAATTTTTATGATATGCAAGTATGGAAAACATACATTTTTTTATATTTTTTATTTTCTCTAGTTGGGCATTTTTCTAATTTTACTTTCTGTGTTGTGTATATTTGGTGGAAATAATAATAAGATAATTTGTATTCATTTTAGATATAAATTTTAAAGTATGTAGATGCTACATTAAAGAAGTGTTTTATATATTTGTAGTGTATCTACCACTTCAAAATTACAACTACAATTCACTAGTATATAAGACATGTTAACTCGACTCTATGTCGGGGTACCTTTTCATAGATGAAGGTTGACATGATCGATTACTCCTCTCCCCATATTGGTGACCTTTGGACGTGATGTGACCACGCCTACCTTGGCAGTAACGCCCACTTCGATATGAACACGCCTACTTCGATGGATGATCTACATTGAACAGTTGACTTGCTACTTGTGACAGCGACATTATCCACCTCCTCGCACTGTTGCTACTCAGTCTCGATCGCGCACAACGTCGGCTTGCATACACTCGACTGCTAACGGCAACACAGGACTGACTACAACCGTGAAGTTAAATACACCTCTCACATTCAGCACTAAAAAAAAATACGGTGATCTTAATACAGCTCTCCCGGCTTCGCACAAAATAGCAATGAATCTACTAGTGGCATCCATTCATCGAATTCTATCATAGCTATAATTCTGGTGCGGGGGTACTGTAGCGTATCTACCACTACAAAATTACAACTACAATTCACTAGTATATAAGACATGTTAACTCGACTCTATGTCGGTGTACCTTTTCATAGATGAAGGTTGACATGGTCGATATCAACGCTCCCCCACATATTTGTGTATTAAAAGTAAATAATCAAAAATTATGAGCAGGTCCTTATTTAACAATAATCAACACTTCTTTAACATAGCACCTACATACTTTAAGATTTTTATATAAATTTATTACAAATTATCTTGTTATTATTTATATTATTATATATCATGTGATAATTTGAAATAAATTTATATAAAATTCTTAAAAGTTTGTAGGTGCTATGTTAAAGAGGTGTTGATTATTGTTAAATAAGGACCTGCTCATAATTTTTGATTATTTACTTTTACTACGCAAATATATAAAAACTAGTAAATATAACTTTAAATTATTCATTGGTAAAGGGTTAAATCGGATTTTAGAATTTTAGAGAGTTCAAGATAGCTTACTAAGGAATTATTCATTACTTTATTATTGTTAAGGATGATAAAGTGTACCTCAAACCCAAATTCAAACAGTTTGCAAATATATCTTTCACCAAGTTTAACCTTGTTTGTTTTCCTAGAATTGAATGATTGTGAAGTACTTTACTTAATAAATTCTCTTTCTAATAAAAACTCCTTTGACTNAACAATAAATTAATATGCAAATTAAAAACTAATGTGTCTGAAAGGAGACCAACTGAAATATATGAAAATCCCCACTTTACAAAAGAAATTTCACGAAAACAGTGTTTTTACTTAGCACCTAAATTATATAATAAATTACCATTTCAGTTGCAAAACATCCAAATATATTCTTCTTTTAAGCATGCTTTATTTCAATTTGTAATGAACATTGACAATTTAGATCTCTATTTTTCACTTTAAAGGAAGCATTTAATTTTTTGTACCAGTCTTGTGCCAAGCCAAATGAATTTCTAATGTTACCTTTGTTATTTTTTTATATAGTTTCATGCATTTTTTTTTTTCTTTTTCTATTATTACAGTGGTCAACAATATATGACGTCTTATGATGAGTAAAATAATTTATGATTGTAATATCGCCCCCTCCCCCTTTTTTTTTCTTTTCTTTTTTTTAAATTTATTGTATTACTTTTCTTTGCCGCCTGGACAGGATTTTCCTCTTGATGACGAATATATATTCTTTGTATTTATGTGTTTTTGTTCCCAATAAAGTTATATTTGTTTGTTAAAAAAAAGAAAAGAAAAGTATTTAACATATAAACTAAGGTTTGTGTGTGCTACATAAGTTAATCTATTCTGTAAGTCTATCTGCATGCATAAAAAGCTAAGTTCTGCCACATTCATCTTCTCACTTCCCATGAATTTGAAAAGTTGAAATTTAGATTTGCTCTTTGTGAGATAAAGGAAAACTAAAAAAGTTTCATTGCAATATTCTATTGGGTGGATTTTAAATTTGATGCATTTTTGATCGTCGGCAAATGAATATTTTATTTATAAAATTTAATAACCTGTTGTGTTTGAAGTTTGTGATTTTCAAAAATGTATACAATAAATAGTAATTCTATAATTTTTTAAGAAAGAGCAATCCTAGAAAATAGACTGTCCAAAGTGACCAAGTCAAACTTCTTTTTAATATATTACTGATTTCCAATATGTAAGATAACTTAAAAACACTTTTGTGTTTTGGAAAAGTTATTTTTATAACACATCTAAAAGTATCTTTGATTGTTATTTAAATTTCCTAATTCTTGGTTATTTTTTGTTGTCTAAGAGAAGTGTTTGGTCTTGTATCAAAGGTAATCATTTTTAAGATTATGCAGTAGATGTTACTCCCACTTTTTAATATTGCTTTATTAATTCAGTATGTGATAGTAATCATTTTAAAAAACAATTTTTTGAAAGATTCCTTTTGAAGACTTTCACATTTTCAAAAGTTTTTTTCTTTCCCTTATGTTGCCCAGTCTGTTATCAACTTTTTAAAGGAACTTTTTTAGCTTCTTGTCACACATAAAGTAAGTCTGTAAGCTATATTTGAGCCATGATATATGAGCTTAAAAAGTTTACACATAGCATTAAAAATATTCAATTATATTAAATTCTATGGTGCGTTATCTATTAATGTATAAAAACTGGTTGGTTAAAAATCATGTTGCTTATAAGAGATAAAAACTATTACAATATTAGTGGTTTATGTTATTGACAAAAATTAGTGGGGCAATTTGTATCCTGCCGTTCTTAAAATTATTAATGATGAGTTATTTGATCCCTACGGATCTATATTTTAATTCAATCTTGATGCTGTATATTAAAATATGTGCTATAAAAAAGATGATCAATTTTATTTTTAAAACAATTTCAGTTTCAAAAATGTTTCAAATTTTAAAATCACCCTTTAATTATTAGGGTAATCTATTAAGAGATGAGCATTATTATGTAGGCTGTTAGTTTGAATAAATTCAGTGCGAGCCTATTTTTAAAACATTTTATTACAAATTTAATAGAACAACGACAAACAATTACACTGAAGAGAAAAATTAAAAGCCCTTCGCTCCTCTTTATGATATGCAATGTTGTAATTTTATCTTATTATATTAACAAACACTCTATTATTCGAAACTAGTTTAAACATTTTTTTTAAATGATTATTTTTCTGATCTTTTGGTTTAATAGGGATTGCTGATAATTTGTTTTTTCCTTTTCATTTAAGTATTTGATTAAAGCTCTCTTCTATCAAATGAACAATACATTACTAATAATAGTTTTTTAAGTTGATTTTTCAGGTTTAATAAGTTAATGAAGTTGACATTTTAAAAATTAACAAAGAACTTATGCTTATCTTCTTTGCTAATTCATCTGTATACTAAATTTATAATGTTTGAAAAATATTATTGATGCTGTTCTTATTAGTGTTATCTACTATTAAGTTTTGATAAATAGTTTCATAATATGTATTTAAAAAATGTAGTGCATCAATTTAGTTTGTTTTCTAATAAAATTTTTTCCTTTTCTTTAGATACTCAATAGAAAGAATGCCAGATGCATATGGGGCTCCTCCATTGTAAATAATTATTGTTTGTTAATAAATGTTTTTTTTTTATTTCAAAATTGATGTACTTTTTTACTTACTAATTAACTGTAATTCTTAGGCAGAATGGACTTTCCTTTTATTCCCTGTCCACGATAAGTCCGACAGTGGACTTATCATGGACAGCAGCTCTAGAGCGATGTAAATAAAACTACAACTTTTTACTCCCCAGGGTGCGTAGCATTTTTAAAAAGTGCTTAAAGGTGCTAATTTTCGTTCTTCATTAGTCGTTTTTTAAAAGTGCTTAATTTTCCCTTTTCCAAAATGTGATTTTTTTTTTCTTTACCATGTAAATTTTTGCTTCGAATTACTCAAAAAGCGTGGTTTTCACGTAGTTCTATTCAACCACAATCTATTTCGACTTTCCAGCAGCATGTAGCGTATGAAAGCGCCAATCATTCAAATACTGAACTGGATTTGGTGTGAAGGATTCATGCATTCTCATGAGCGACTCTGCTGCATTTTGCTAGAGAGATAATATTTTCAAATGATAGTTAAATTAATTATTTATAATTTTGAATAAATTTTTTTTATATAATTGTGTAAAGTAATTATAAATTTAAGAAAACTGAATCATTCAGTTAATATTGAATGTACAATTTAAAATAGTGAAATTGTTTTTATGGTGGTTAATGTAATCACGAAAAGAATTCTTTGTCAGGAACTAGTTATTTTATCATGATCATGTAACTAAGAAAACTATTTTGCATTTTCATATATATCTGAGGAAATTGCAACAATATGAAGGAAAACAATTATTAGTGTGCATATCCTAATTATAATATTTTTTTAATGTGCTTGGAAATATTTTTTGAGTGCTTAGAAGGTGCTTATTTTTTGTTGAAAAATTTGTAGCACCCTGCCCCCATCTCGTAATTTTTCAAATTTATGTTTGTCCGTGTACTAATTGACATTAATAAAAATATTTGGCACTAAGTTTTTCTTTATACCCCCCCCCCCCGAGTTCTAGCCATTATCATATTTTTATTTTAAATGTTGTTGAACAGCCGACCCAATTTTCGGTTCACGATTACTAATATTCGACTCCTTGTCCTTGTAATTTTGAACCAATCCAGAAGACAAGGAAACACCTGGATCAGTACCGTGGGATTATTGACTTTTTATGACTTAATTTATCTTCGTGTCTGCTCAATAATATTTTCCGGTGGAAAATTGGGGAAAACCCTTTCCCGCTCAACAGCATTTTTCCTTGGAAAACCTTTTTCATGCTCAACAACACACAATTGGAACACTTCGAGCTCTAGCCATGTCCTTGTATTTCTATTTTTAAACTGTGATTACCGTCCCGCAGTGGACTGATCGTTAAGACACGGTTCCCAGCAGATCACCGAAGTCAAGCATCACTGGTTGCGGTCAATGTGCGGGTGGGTGGCCACTTGGATCAGCCTGCGTAGGGACCGAGGATGTGCGGCATTGGTCTTCGTTAAACTGTTCTACCGTAAAGTGCTCGACTTCACGTGCAGGTCGTCGGGCTACCGAAGCGAAGGGGCCATCCCCTCTGCAGAGGATCAAAATTGTGATGGCATGTCTTCGGATCATCCGCAGGGATGTTTCCCAGACCGCCGCCAATAGCCCATTGTGAAGCTCTAGTGCGACGTAGATGAACAACAAAGAAACTGTGATTACCATTTTTTCTCTCCCTAATAGCAGTTTCTAGGAATAGTGGTTGACAAAGGAAAACAATGTGTAAGGAGATGATTTATTTAAACAGTATAAAACAGTTCGATGTACGTGTTTTATTAATAAATAATTTATGACTCTGAAATATTTTCTACTTATTGATTTTTTTAAAAGAAGTAAAGTCAAATAAGCAATTAAAAAATTTTAGAATTGCTTTTGAGTAAATCGCGAAAAAAATTATGGAGGCTAGAGTAAAAGAAAAAAAAAGAGTCACGTCTCAAATAAATAAAAAATTTACATAATTTTAGATTTGAGAATTGTCGATCAAAAATTTTTTTCCATAAATTTTAGAGTCAGCCTTTCTTCTCCACAGTGAGGCTACTTGACGGTAAAAAAACATTTGAATGTACAACTTTGACCTTGAGGTGTTAGGTTCAAACCCCATGTTGACTAAATTTTTTTTTTAAAGTTCCCCCCCCTCTTTGTATATAGTTTGTCTACGGTCAGAACTCCTCTGTCCCAAAGTCTGAGGCAGGCTGCTGCTATGGAAACAAAAATAATGCATTTTAGGTAGGGTAGCTTCCTTTCACTCTAGGGATAACACAATAGACTAAAGAAAAAGATTCCCTGTTTCTTGTTACCATAGGACTATGGTAACAAGGTTATTTTTGTGTTAACTTTCTTCCATCCAAAATAATTAGAGATGTAACACATATTAGATGCCTTTAAGAGATCTGCTTATGATAAAGATAGTTCAAATTATTTCGAAATTATATTTCGGTTTTAAACAATTCAATTGTGTTACAAACGTTAGAGTTATAGATATCACGAATTATTTTGTGCATATCATAGGACAGATTGATATTTTTCAGTATTAATAAAAATTTGAAGAGAGCCATTTAAGGGATTTTCTGGTCCAGAGGTCCAATGTAAGCATAATTTTTTTCTTCAGTAAAATGAAAAAAAAAAATAAGTTGTATAATGCTTTCATGGTTTTATTTCGTTACTTTTCAGTTACATTTTTTTTTAATCTCCCATCCATGATTACGTAACCAAGTCGAGATACCCCCTTATTTTTTGTTTCAACTTTTACTGCAGTAATCTAATGTAGAATATAAATAGATAATCATGATTAAAAAAAATAGATAAATTTTTTAAATTAATTAAATAGATAATTTTTTTTTCAAGAAGCGAACTTTAATTTCTATTAAAATTTTACTTATATCTTTAAATTTTTGAAACTCTTGAAGAAAATCTTCTTTCCCGAAAATTTAACTTTTATTTCAAAATTGAAATTTTTCCAAGTTTATTTATTTGCCCAATTTTTTGTAAAAATTTTCATTTTAAAATTTCAATTAAATAAATTTAAAACAAGGAGATTTTAGTGTCTTACATAAATCTTGCTCATACTTCATTTCTCATTGCCCTTCCCCTCCCTTTTTAGATGCTTATATATTTGCATGGTCCCTCATTAAATATAATAAAAGTTAAAGAAAAACCTAACAAAAAATCCATCTAAAACCATAAAATTACAATATATAAAAATAATAGGCAAAATATTCTTACGAAAATATGCCAGTTTTTAATCCGTGATCTTTTGAATGAAAGAAGTTTTTGCTGAGCTTTTCCATTGTGTTATCAGGAAAATGAGATTCATTCAACTTTCTTCAAAACGTATTCGAAATCAGCGTCTCAAAATCTATAAAATTTTAGTAAAATTTAGAATTGCACTTAATGCTATTTCTTTGTCAGAATTAAAGCGTCAAAAAATCCAAATTAAAAGAATTTGTTTCCTTTAAAATCAGAGCTGTGGAGTTGGTAGTTGAAATGTTCCACTCCGAACTTTTTCTAGAGGTTGAATCCGACTATTTAAATTTCCCCAAAAATTTTCAGTAAATATTGTTATTAAATAAATATTAATATTTATGTAATAACAATATTCATTGAAAGTTTTGGAGAAAATTTTAATAGTCGGATTCAACCACTCAATCAACCTATATATGCAAGGTTTCAGTGAAAAGTATTTTATTTAAAACTATATTTCTACATACACTCTATAACAAAAAAAATCGACTCACCAAGAAGGAGTTGTCCGATTGAAACGAAAATTGGTGGATAGGAAGACAATGTACAGAATAGTAAATGATTAAAATTTCAGAACAATTGAATAATTTATTACAGTGTTACAGTAACATGTTCAATAAGGTGTTGACCCGCCTCTAGACTGGATACAAGCTGCCACACGGTGTGGCATAGACCGATAAAGCTCCCGGATGATCTCTTGCGGTATTTCAAGCCAAATTCGATCCAATTGTCGAACGAGGTCATCAACATTCCGTGCCAGATGCAATCGCCTTCCCATCATATCCCAGACATGCTCGATGGAAGAGAGATCTGGCAGGCCAGGGAAGAGTAAGAGTTTGACAAGCTTTCAGACAGTTCATAGCAACACGTGCCGTATGTGGTCTGGCATTGCCTGCTGAAAAACCAGCCCAGGGTGCTGCAAAAGGAACGGTAGCAAAACAGGTTTTAGGATGTCGTCGACGTACGCTGTGCAGTAAGTGTACTTCTAATGACGACCAAAGGGTTACGGCTATCAAAGGAAATGGCACCCCAGACCATAATGCTTTGTTGAGGGCCGGTGTGGCGTGCAATAGTGAAGGCAGGATCCCCCCTCTGCCCTGTGCGTCTCCAAACACGTCTTCGATGATCGCCAGGACACAGTTGGAAGCTGGATTCGTCGCTAAAGACTATACGTCCCCAGTCGGCATCGAGCCGAAACATTCATGCATACGAAATTTCAAAGCAATCGGATGATTACTTCTTGGTGCGTCGATTTTTTTTTTTGTTATAGAGTGTATATATTTAAAACTATGTGACTTACACAAATTATATCTGTACAAAATATCGAAATTGTACAATGATAGATCATTGTGATTAAAAAGATATGAATATCTCACACGCGTACAAGAAAATTTATAAGGAACTTGAAAGATTCTCCTTAAAACAAAGTGATTTTTTACTGAATATTCTGAATAACTAATATTCTAGATGAAATCCGTAATATTCTGTATAATAGGAGTGTACTATAATATACTATTACAAATGATGCATAGAATTTATTCGAATATCTTTTTTGATTAACCTATTAAATAAACTATATTAATTTGGTTTTTGGAATTTGCATTCTTTCCCAATAGTTTTCTTTTTTTTTTTTTAACTTTCTGACCTTTAGATTTTTAAACTCCGCTATTTTGCATTTTTAATCTGATCTGTGGGCCCTACATCCTTTTATCAACACTTTGTTTTTTAAAAAATTTTTTTAATCTTTTCACTATTATCCGTTATTTCACATTATTCATTTTAGCTCTTACGACAT